GTGAGGGTGAGGGTGAGGGTGAGGGTGAGAGTGAGGGTGAGAGCACGCCTTGGGTCGCCGAGAGGAGGCGCGCGGTGGGAAAGGAGCTGCTTGCTGCTACTACCACGCTTGCCGCTGCTACCAAGCCCCGCCAAGAGTGGAAGGAGGGTGTGTGTGTCTTCGTTTGGGGCGGGGGTGGGGGGTGGGGGGGCAGCCTCTGGCGGGGCGGCGGCTCTATCTCTGGTGCTCTCAGGCGCTCTTAGGCGCTCTCAGGCGAAGCGGCGCGCCGTCGCTCGCCGCGGCAGCGGCGTCCGGGGCGCCAAACGTGCAGAACTGGTGGAAGGAGAGGCGCCGCGCCTCGCCGGGCGACCAGGCGAGTGCTGCGCAGAGGCCTGTGGCGGAGGGGGAGGGGGAGGGCTGTGGGGTGGGTGTGTGGTGGAGGCCGGCGGCGTGGGTGTGAAGGTGGGGTGTTCTGGGGCGGCCAGGGGGTCGTGCAAGCGGCGCGGCGTGGCGAGCGGCGCCCGGTTCGCCGCGCAGCCGCTTGAGGACGAGGCCGCCCGCCTCGCGCTGCGCCCGTGCCGCCGCCTCCTCCGCCGCCACCGCCGCCGCCCTCTCCGCAGGGTCAACCTCGCCCTCCTCCGCGCCGCCCTCCTCCTCCTCCTCCTCCTCCTCCTCCTCGTCGGCCGGCTCCGGCCCTGGCTCTGGCTCGTCGGCAGCGGCGGCCGGAGGGTCGGGCTCCGCCTTGTCCTTGCCCTTCCCGCCAGCCTCGACCTCTCCCGCAACCGCCTCCTCCCCAACCTCCTCCCCCACCTCCTCCTCTGCCACCCCACTTGCCCCCCCCGACGGCGCCTCCCCCGCCGCCGCAGCGTCCGCGCCATCTGCCGCCTCTCCGCCATCGTCCGACTCGGCGGCGGCGACGTCGAAACCGGAGCCGCCCGCAAAGGCCTGCAGCATCGCGATCGCCTTTGGCTCGCCGACCTTCTGCGCCGACTCGAGCGGCGTCCTCCCGCCCCTGTTGCACGCCGTCAGGTCGGCCCTCGCCTCGCACAAGTAGCCGATCACGCGCAGGGAGCCATACATCGCCGCGATGTGGAGCGGCGTGTTGGCGTGCTCGCCGGGCAGCAGCGGGTCGGCGCCCTTCTTGACGGCGGACTCGACGGCGCGCAGCGAGTTGCTCTCGATCGCCTTAAGGAGCGCACGCTGCACCTTCTCGTCCCGGGGAGGCGTCGCTTCGGCCGGCAGACCCACCGCGTCGGCCGGTTGCGCTTCTTCCGCCGCCGGCGCCTCCGCTTCCGCCTCCGCCGGCGGCACTTCAGCCGCGGGCGGGCCCTCCACGGCAGCCTCCTCTTCACCTGCCGCCGCCACCGACTGCGCCTCCGCCGACGCCCGCGCTCTCGCCGCCGACGCCTGCTTCTCTGCCGCCGCGGCAGCCACAGCCGCCGTCTTCGCCGTCTCCAAGGCCGCCGCCGCCGCCTCGGCCGCCGCCGCCGCGCTCTCCGCCGCCGCGTCCGCGCGCCGCGACTCCTCCTCCGCCGCCGCGAGCTCCGCGGCAGCCTTGGCCGCCGCCGCCTCGACCGCCGCCACCTTGGCCGGGTCAGGCCCGCCGCCGCCGCCGCCGCCCGAGCAGGCGCCGGTGTGGATCTTCATCTCGGTGCCGTCGTTGCGCACCTTGGTCTTGCACGCGTCGCAAGTGACCCACTTCTCGTTCTTGAACGTGAACGTAACCTCGCCGCCGCCGCCGCCGCCGCTCGCGGCCGACGCCGCGGCCAGCTTCTCCTTGGCCTTGCTGGCGCCCTCGGCCGTCTTGGCGGCCTTGGCAAGCACCGCGCGCGCGTTCTCGGCCGCGCGCTGGGCCGTCTCGGCCGCCTTGGAAGCCTCCGTCGCGGCGGCCTCGAGCGAGGCGAGCTCCTGCGCCGACACCCCCCTCCCCGCCTCAACGGCCGGCGCTGACGCTTGGTCGTCGCCCGCCGCGTCGTCTACCGCAGCGGCCGCCTCTGCCGCCGCCTCTGCGGCCGCCTCTGCCGCCACCTCTGCCGCCGCCTCTGCCGCTGCGGCCTTGGCTGCTGCCGCCTCGGACGCCGCAGCCTCCGCCGCTGCCGCTTCGGCCTTTGCAGCCTCCGCCCTTGAAGCCTCGGCCTCTGCCGCTGCCGCCTCCTCTGCCGCTGCTGCTTCCGCTGCCTCGGCCTTTGCGGCAGCGGCTTCGGCCGCTGCTGCCTCTGCCGCTGCTGCCTCTGCCGCCGCAGTCTGTGCCTCTGCCGCTGCTGCCTCTGCGGCTGCTGCCTCTGCGGCTGCTGCCTCTGCGGCTGCTGCCTCCGCTGCCGCCGTCTCTGCTGCCGCCGCCTCCTCCTTCGCCCGCTCCGCCGCCGCCTTTTCCGCAGCAGCGGCAGCCTCCTTCTCTTCCGCTGCAGCCTGAGCGTCCTTCTCCACTTGCGCCGCCGCCTCGGCCGCCGCCGCCGCGCTCTCCGCCGCCGCGTCCGCGCGCCGCGACTCCTCCTCCGCCGCCGCGAGCTCCGCGGCAGCCTTGGCCGCCGCCGCCTCGACCGCCGCCACCTTGGCCGGGTCAGGCCCGCCGCCGCCGCCGCCGCCCGAGCAGGCGCCGGTGTGGATCTTCATCTCGGTGCCGTCGTTGCGCACCTTGGTCTTGCACGCGTCGCAAGTGACCCACTTCTCGTTCTTGAACGTGAACGTAACCTCGCCGCCGCCGCCGCCGCCGCTCGCGGCCGCCGCCGCGGCCAGCTTCTCCTTGGCCTTGCTGGCGCCCTCGGCCGTCTTGGCGGCCTTGGCAAGCACTGCGCGCGCGTTCTCGGCCGCGCGCTGGGCCGTCTCCGCTGATCTGGCGAGCTCGCTCGCGGGTTGAGGAGCCATAGTTGTGCCGCCGTCAGCGACTTTGGCAAAGTACTGTGCTTGGGCAGGTGTGAACAACACCTCGAGAGAGAGAGAGAGAGAGAGAGAGAGGAGGGGGCATGTGTAACGACACTGCTAGAGATGCCTTTCGGGGCCCAGAGATAAAACTTCTGTGATGCCATGCGTGACCTAGTAGTGTCCCCAGCTATGGGCGTGTCCACGTTGGAGCCAGGTGTGGTGTGGGCGCGAGAATAGCTCCGCCGTTCATGGAGGCAACCGATGCGAGTCGACTGGTGTGTGTCGTCGTGGTTTCGTATCAAGAATTCTCTCTCTCACAACACCTCGTGACCACGGCGCCGCAGGCGCCTGTTGATGGGTCCAGGTGATAGCCCTGGATGGGCAATGCATACGCCTAGTTGGACCTCAGATCGCCCGACCGCGTCCCGGTGCTCTGTGGTCGGATTTGTGACGCCGAACAAAACAAAGGTGACGCCGCCGCACCGCGCCGCGGCCGGGGGCCCGCCGGAGGCCAAGGATGGCCGTGGCGGACCGGGACGAGCTCTGGGAGGTAAGGTGTCAGTGAGTATATTGTAGAAACTGACCATGTGCACAATATCTCTCACTCTAGCTAAGCCTGGGAAGGCGATGCCGGGGCCGTACAACAGCTTGATGGTGCTTCGCCGGCGTGCGTCCCGGAGCGGTCCCGGACGGGGGCCCAGGAGAGGAAAATGGAGGACAACGCCGACACCGCTCTGATTCGACTTTTTACTTCAAACAAAGACAGTGGCACGCGCCGCGGCGCGGTGCATGCCACTGTCTGAGCCCTGGTGTCGAGGTGTGAGGCCCGGTGTCGAGGGTGTCGAGCTGCTGTCGAGGGATAGAGGTGTCGAGGCCTGTCGAGGCCTGTCGAGGTCTGTCGAGGCCTGTCGAGGCCTGTCGAGGCCTGTCGAGGCCTGTCGAGGCCTGTCGAGGCTGAAACCATGCTTGACCGTGTCGAGGGGTGTCGAGGGGTGTCGAGGTGTCGAGTTTGGCACCTTGACACAGACGAGCATGGTTTCAGCCTAGATGGTGTCGAGGGGTGTCGAGGGGTGTCGAGGGGTGTCGAGGGGTGTCGAGTTTGTCGAGTTGGCATGGGTTGTCGAGGTGTCGAGTCGGTGTCGAGGTTTGGTGTCGAGGTGTCGAGGCCAGGGCTCAGGCCACTGTCAGGAGCGGATCCGTCAGTTAGTCGCGTTCACGCCGGGATCGTGTCCTCCACAACCTGCCCAACCATTCAGGGCGACGAGTAGGAATGACGGGGATCCGCCGAAAGAATTTTACAACGAAACTCCAGAACACTGGGCACGGGACTGGCGCGCACTGGCACTAACACAGCAACAATCCGGGGCTCGCCTGCACACCGCGACATAAGGAGGGCAAACCCACGGGGCGAGTGGACTGCTTCAAGGCCGTCGGCACCTTCTTTGGCGACCCTGAAGCCTGCAAGAAAGAGCTCACCGCGCACCTCAGGAAGAAGCTCGCGCCGCTCGACGTCATCGACACGATCGTCGACACTGACTGCGTCACGAACACCTCGCAGCTCCGCCTCAACCTCGTGCAACGGATCGCCTGCGCAAAGACCAAGTACATTGCCGGCATCACGCCGCCCAATGTCGCGTGCGAGGCTCTCGAGTTTGCGCACAACCGCATCCGCAAGTCCTTCGAGAGCATTGCTCGCGCCGACGCCTCGCCCCAGGCGCTCCGCGACCTCGCGTGGCTCCAGGCACAGCTGCCGACCGAGATGGGCGGGTGCAACATCGACACCGCCTTCACGCGAGCCGACAGCGACTTCTCCATGTCGCTCCTCAAGAACTGGCGCACCCTCGTCGCCCACAACCCCGACTTCGCCCACGACGAGGGAGGTGCATCCAAGTACCCCGCCATCGCCGCAGCTATCGCCACCTACGAGTCCGCCCTCTCGGACTGGAAGGAGGTGTGCGAGAAGCGCACCGCCCGCGACAAAAACAAGTACTACACCGTCCGCGGCGGCTACCTGACTGAGTTCTACCCCAAGAGCGTCCCGCTCCCCGAGCCCGAGTCCCTTCCAGCTACCGACGCGATTCTCAATGGCACTTGCAAATCCACGTACCCGCGGCCGCGGGCGCTCGCTGCCATCAAGAATCACAAGGACTGGTACGCGCACCAGGAGCTCGTCAAGGCGCGGGATGCGCACGTCAAGAACAACCCGTCCCTCGGAGACAGCGCCGTCAACAACCGCGAAGCCGCACGCTTCGTCTCCGCCTCAACGCCTTTCGCCGGCAAGGCCTTCGATGTCCGTGTCGACGGTACGTACGCCACCGCCCTCTCCTCCGACACCCTCCAGGACGAGCTCCAGCGAAAGCTCGGCCTTTGGCTCTCCGCGGCGCTTCCCACCCTTCGGGTCGCGCTCGAGCGGGGCATGCCAGTCGATTTCTTCGGCGACTACCTTTACAACAAGGCCCACCACCGGCGGCCCCACGACGGCGTCCTCGCCGCCTGGGCGGACGCGATGCGCGCCCCGGCCAACGCGCCGGTCGTGCACGGTGACAAGGAGAAACCAGAGCTCACCCGGCAGTACAACGAGGGGTACAAGGTCGACCTTGCGGAACCCCACGCTGGCCCGGGAGGCTGCGATGACGTGAATGAAGTCAAGCTCTGGACGCCCCTCCTCAAGACCTCCTCGCCGGGCGTTGGCAACGCCTCGAGTGGCGGCACGCCCGCCTCCGTTGGCCACTCCTACGCCTTTGGTAACACCGAAGAGAAGGCCCGCCGCCTAAACATGGGCTGCAAGGCGCGCGGGCAGCCCGGCCAACCCTTCTCCCACAAGACCGGCCACGGCTACGTCAAGGCGCATCGCGGTTTCTACCACGACGCGATCTTTGTCAAGCGCAACAACTTCAACCTGCTGCTCCACGAGACGTTCGGCGGCGGCTTCTCGCCCACCGCCGTTCTCAAGCTGCGCCGCCTCGCGCGCAAAGTCGCGCGCGGCAGCGTCGACCGCACGGCCTACTCGCCCAAGTACTCGCTCTCTTTTATGTCCCACCATGCAGAGCGCATCTCTCTCTCTGTTGTGCGAGGCGTGAACCGCGCCATTCGCTCTCACCTGGCAACCCTGTCTGCACGTCTCGCGCGCGCGTGAACAGGGCTCCAGGCCCCAAATGACGTGTGAGTGTTAGATTTGTTTGGTATTGCTAAAAATCTCTCTCTCTAACACAGGTACACCGAAAGAAATCAACCGCCGACCACCCGCCGCCGCCCTCCGTCTCGCCCACGCCGCCCGCCACCGCCGTCCATTGCCCTGCCGCATGCCGCCAATCGCCTGCCACTGCCTCCCGCCCTCCCCGCCACGCCGCGCCATCCGCTTCTGCCACTGCCTCGTCCCGCCGCGCCACTCCTACCGTAAGCCGCTTCCGTTTCGCCGTTTGCCCCACGCCGCCTCCATGCCGCCCGCTTTCTTTCGCAGCGAAAGAAACACACGCTGCGTACCAGCAAGCGGGGTCGCGCCGCCTATCGCGCCGCCTGTGGTCGCGCCGCCTGCCCTGCTCGGCCAGCGCGTCGTGCTCGGCGGGCTCTCGGCACGCCCCGAGCTGAACGGGCGCCTGGGCGAGGCGCGGAGCTTCGAGGGCGGGCGGTACGCGGTGGCGCTCGAAGGCGGCGGCGAGAGCGTGCGAGTGCGGCCGGACAATCTGTCGAGGGCGGCCGTGCAGGCCCCGAGTGTCATGGCGACCGACGAGATCGTGGCAGCGGCTGAGCGAGGCGACGAGGCGGTGGTGCTGGCGTGCAAGCGACTTTGCCAAGCGACTTTGCCGAGGGGGGCGCAGCGGAAAGAAATCACGCGGTTTGGGCCCCACTACAGGGGAAAGAAACACAAGCCGGATTACGAAAGACGGCGCGCTCAACAGCCGAGATGGTCGCACCTGTGGACGCGCCGCTGCTCGGCCAGCGCGTCGTGCTAGGCGGGCTCTCGGCACGCCCCGAGCTGAACGGGCGCCTGGGCGAGGCGCGGAGCTTCGAGGGCGGGCGGTACGCGGTGGCGCTCGAGGGCGGCAGCGAGAGCGTGCGAGTGCGGCCGGACAATCTGTCGAGGGCGGCCGTGCAGGCCCCGAGTGTCATGGCGACCGACGATATCGTGACAGCGGTTGAGCGAGGCGACGAGGCGGTGATACTGGCGTGGCTCGAAATCGGCGGGCGGGTCAACGCGACAGTCAACGCGACGTGCGAGGGCGGCAAGGCGAGTGGCATCACGCTGCTGATGAGCGCCGCCGGCCACGGCCACGAGCGGGTGGTCGACTTGCTGCTGCAGCACGGCGCGGAGCGCAACCTGCAGAACAGCAACGGCTGGACCGCGCTGACGATCGCCGCCCTCCACGGCCACGAGCAAGTGGTCGACTTGCTGATACGGCGCGGCGTGGAGGTCAACCTGCTGGGTGACGGCTGCTTGACCGCGCTGATGGCCGCCGCCGGGGAAGGCCACGAGCGGGTGGTCAATCTGCTGATCCGGCACGGCGCTGATGTCAACCTACAGGACAGCGACAGTTATACCGCGCTGATGTGCGCCGCCAGCCAAGGCAACCCCGCCGTCGTGCGGCGCTTGCTGCGGGCGGGCGCAGACACGGCGGCTCGCGGTGCGAGCGGCAAGACGGCGCTGCAAATGGCCAAGGAGAAGGGCCACGCCGAGTGCGCCAAGGTCTTGGCTGAGGCGGTGGCCGAGGGCCGGGCAGGGGGGGCGGGCGGCGCTTCTTCGGGCGCGGCAGCGGCAGCTGTGGACAATCCGTCGCCGGCGGCAGCGGCGAAGCCGGTGTCAGGCAGTGTCGTGGAATTCTCCGATGAGGTCGTGGATGCGGCTGGGCGAGGCGACGAGGCGGCGGTGCTGGCGTGGCTCGACAGTGGAGGGCAGGTCAATGCGACTTGGGGGATGACCGGCATCACCGCGCTGATGCTGGCCGCCCAGATGGGCCACGAGCGGGTGATCGAGCTGCTGCTGGAGCACGGCGCGGAGGTCAACCTGCAGGACAGCAACGGCTGGACTGCGCTGATGCGCGCCGCCCAGGAAGGCCACGAGCGGGTGGTCGAGCTGCTGCTGCGGCGCGGCGCTCAGGCCAACCTGCAGGACGAGTACGGCCTCACCGCGCTGACGCTCGCCGCCCACCAAGGTCACGAGCGGGTGGTCGACTTACTGCTCCGGCGCGGCGCGGAAGTCAACCTGCAGAGGAGTGACGGCGGCACCGCGCTGATGCTCGCCGCCCTCTTCAACCACCCCGCCGTCGTTCGGCGCTTGCTGCGGGCAGGCGCAGACACGGCGGGTCGCAGTGTGAGCGGCAAGACGGCGCTGCAGCTGGCCAAGGAGAAGGGCCACGCCGAGTGCGTCGAGGCCTTCAAGAAGCACGTCCAGGAGGTGGTGGCGGGACGGCCCACGGCGACGGCAGCCGGCGGCGAAGGCGCAGGCGGCGCTTCCTCCGGCGGCGCTTCCTCGGCTGGATCGAGCGTCGCGAAGACGCTATCTCCAGCGGTGGCGGCGGGGCGGGCGTCGAGCGGTGGCGTGGCAGTCTCCGATGAGGTCGTGGCAGCGGCTGAGCGAGGCGAGGAGGAGGCGGTGCTGGAGTGGCTCGAGGGCGGCGGGCGGGCCGACGCGACGTACGAGAGAGGCGGCTTGAGCGGCCTCACGCTGCTGATGCTCGCCGCCCAGGAAGGCCACGAGCGGGTGGTCGAGCTGCTGCTGCGGCACGACGCTGAGGTCAACTTGTGGGACAACTTCGGCGCCACCGCGCTGGTGTGCGCCGCCTTCTTCAACCACCCCGCCGTCGTGCGGCGCTTGCTGCGGGCGGGCGCAGACGCGGCGTCTACCTTTAACGGCATGACGACGCTGCAGCTGGCCAAGGAGCAGGGCCACGCCGAGTGCGTGCGCGCCCTCGAGGAGCACTCGTCGACCGCAGCAGAGGCTGAGGGGGAGACGTTGGCCGCAGAATCAGCCGAACAGGCCGCGGCGGCCGCACGCGAGGCGGCAGCGGCTGCGGAGGCGGCAGAGGCACGCGATGCTGCCGAGGCGGCGCTGCGCGAGGCGGTTGAGGCGTGCGAGCGAGGCGATGCCGATCTCGAGGCGCTCAGAACGGCGATCAACGCGAACACCGCCCAGTCCGCCAACGGCTCGGAGGCGCTGCGGGCGGCGCGGCGGCTGCGCGACGAGCTGGCCAAGCCGCTGAAGCGGCAGCGGCAGAAGGAGGAGAAGAAGGCGGCGAGGCAGGCGGAGGCGGCAGCGCGGGCGGTGGAGCGGGCGGCGGAGCAGGCGGAGGAGGCGCGAGCGGCGGAGGAGGCGCGGGCGGCTGAGGAGGCGCGAGTGGCGGAGGAAGCGGATCGGGTGGTAGCAGAGGCTGCGGCGGCGCGGGCGGCGGAGGAGGCGGAGGCGGCGTCGCGCGCAAGGGAGGAGGCAGAGGCGAGGGCAAGGGAGAAGGCGGCAAGGGAGAGGGAGGAGGCGAGGATGAGGGCGGAGGCGGAGGCGGAGGCGGCGGAGGCGGCGGCGGAGGCGGCGGCTGTAGAGGCGGCAGTGGCGGCCGTAGCGGCGGCGGAGGCTCAAGAGGCCGCGGCAGAGGAGGCGGCAGCGGCGCCAGCGGCGCCCCCAGAACCTCCCTCGCCCACCGCGCGAGCCTCCGCAATCCCCTCCGCCGCCGCGCCGCCCACCGCCGTCCCTCTCGACGAGCTCATCGCGGCGACCGACGGCTTTGCCGAGGCTCGCAAGGTGGGCGAGGGAGGTTTTGGGCGCGTCTACCGCGCCGATGCGTTGCCGTCTCTCCCGCGCGTCGCTTGCGGGTTCGCCGTCAAGACGGCGCTGGTCGGTGTCGGCGCCCAAGGCCTCGCCGAGCTACAGAGCGAGGTGCGCACGCTCAGCGCGGCGTGCCACCCGTCCTTGCTTCCTCTGCTCGGCGTCTGTTTGGCACCGGCGAGAGCGTGCCTCGTTTACCCCCTCTGCCGCGGCGGCAGCCTCGAGGACCGCCTCTACCGCACTCCAGCCGCGCTGCAGCGGCTCCGCATGCTCGGCTTCGAGACGGCGCCTCCTCCGCTCTCCTCCGCCCCACGGCTCCGCGTGTTGCGCGACGCGGCGAGCGCTCTGCACTACCTGCACACGCGCTCTCCCATGGTCCTGCACCGCGACGTCTCGGCGGGCAACATCCTGCTCGACGAGCGCGGCAACGGATACCTCGCCGACGTGGGCCTCGCGCGCGCGGCAGAGGCGACGGCCGGCGGCAATGGACAGGTCTCGCACCTGTCGACGCAGCGTATCTTTGGCAAGCCCGGCTACATGGACCCAATCATCACGCAGGACAACCAGGCTTCGCAACTGACCGACGGCTATGCGCTCGGCATCACGCTGCTCGTCAGCCTGACCGGCCGCGGCGCCGTCGGCTTGCTCAACGCGTGCGACTATGCGCTGGAGGAGCCCGACACGGCGGAGAGCATCGCGGCGGCCGACGCGGGCTGGTCGGCGGCGCAGGCTGAGGAGCTGGCGCGGCTCGTGGTCGGGCTGGCGTACGAGCGGAAGCGAAAGCGGATGCCGCTCGCAGAGGCGCTGCCGCGGCTGGAGGCGCTGGTCGAAGCGGCGGGGGAGGTGGAGGAGACGGCGGCAGCCGAGGAGCGCCAGTGCGACCTCTGCTGGAACGCGCCGCGCTCGGTCCGCTTTGCGTGCGGCCACGCGCTGTACTGCGAGACGTGTGTGCCGCGCGTGCTGGAGCGCGACACCAACTGCCCGACTTGCCGCCAGCCGGCGCTGCCCATCGTCGCAATTGGGACACAGGTGGCGGCGCAGACGACGTTTGTCTACCAGCCGCCCTCGCGCCCCGCGCCCCAGGCTCAGCCCGTGGGCGTCACGGCAGCGGTCGGTAGGCGAGGGGGGAGAGGGGGGCGTGGACGTGGCGGGCGGGGCGGGCGGGGCGCGGGGCGCGGCGGCTCTGCTTAGTTCTGGAGCACCGGCGCCACACATGATATGGGTCAGCGCGAGAGGACAGTCGACAGGGAGGTGCAGTGCTGAGTGTGTGTACTGACGTATTTGAAACGTGTGGAAATCTATCGTTGCATGTTGGGCGCAAGCACGGCTCGTTCCGTACGTCAGAATTGTCTTGAGACTTGACTCTTGTACCGTGGCCGCGTACGGCTCTACGGCTTTACGGAGCTCACCACGTCGCACGTCTGGAGACCTCTCATCGTCTACATAGCATTTGGCCTCTTATATACTACGACGCCGACCCCCGCGCCACCTCGTCCAGAAACTCGATGGCGAGGTGCTGCGACGTCGCCGCCCCTCCGTTTCGCACGCCGTGCGACGTGTTTGCGGGCAGGAACGCGAGGCCGCCGCGCGCGACGGTCGTCGCCCCCCCGGGGTGCACCACCTCGACCGCCCCCTCGAGCACGAGCAGCAGGACGTCGTGGTCGCCGTCGCGGTGCACGGGCCTCGAGGCGCCGGCCGCGAGGGTCGTGCGGTGGATGTGCGGCCGCCGCAGGAGCAGCTGCTTGCTGTGCAGCAAGCCGCCCGCCACGCCCGCGCCACCGGACACGAACGTCGGCCACGCCCTGGCGGGCGACAGCCCGGCCGGCGCGCTCGCGCTGTGCGCGCGCATCTGCCCCTCGGTGCGCCGGGTGGTGTAGCGGATGCAGAGGTAGTCGACGTGAGGCCCGGCGGGGGATTCTCGGCCGGCGCCGCCTTGCTTGAGGCGCCGCCTCGGCCCGCGAGATCCGGCGGGAGCCACAGCCATCGTGTGTGCCGATCGGAAGGGGAAGTACACGAAGCTGCCGCGCCGAGAGAGCGTCGTCTCGGTCCGCCCCTCCGCCGAGATGGAGGTGGATGTGCCGCCATTCGCGTGGAGGCTCGCCGAGCCGTCGGTGTAGAACGTTGCGCTCCCGTTCAGGACTACGATGACCTCCTCGTCGTCGTGCAGGTGCGGACTGTTTGTGCGGCGCCGGCCCTTGCGCGGCAACCGCGAGTAGTGCACCTCTAGGTGAGCGAGCACGGGGGACGAGCAGTGGTCAATGGCGACCTGCGTCGTGAGGGCGTGGCCCGTTTTCGGCGGCCGAGGAAACTGGACGCAGCGCTTCTGCGACTCGTCCTTGATGAAGGCGAGAAACTTCGTCCGCGAGGCGAGCGAGCCGTCGTCGAGGTAGGCGAGTGAGCTCGCGATGGCGACCTCGAGCAGAGTCATGGATGCCGTGGCTGGGCGCCGTTCACAGCCTTGTTATACATCGTTCACAGCGCTCAGGTTTCTCTCTTTCTCCTGTAGGCGGCTCCGGTGGTGTGCCGGTGTGTGTGCTAGTCTGCGCCAGTCCGCGCCCTTGTTGTGCCAGCGTGCTGTGCGAGAGGCTTGCGTGTTAAGTAGAATTCTTTCTCTCCAATCGGCGCGAGTGAGCTGACGTCTTTTCAGTGTATGTAGCTCTTACGTACATTCGCCCTTAGGGGCCTAGAGAACACAACCCCCTCTCTCTTTTCTCCCAGTAAGCTAAAAGTACGTACATTCCCGTTTTCTGGCTCTTTATACAGACATCGATGGTGAGTGGGTGACTGCGGACAGCGCGGATAGGATTTGGCAAGCGTTCCTCGGGGTCGTACTCGCCATCCTCCTCCTCTGGGGCGGCCGGGTCCCCATTTGTTCAAGACACAGAGCTCACACAAATTCACAGTGGGAGGAAAGCGGCTCGTGTTTTCATCTCTCCAATTGAGCTGACCCGTCTCTGTGTGGCTCTTTACTGGAAGAGCCGAGGGTGAGTGGGTGACTGCGGACAGGGAGACTTCTTTCTGATTTTGTTCTTCACAACCGGACTGATGAGGCTGTTCACGAACGGAACCACGCCGAATATTCGCGGTTTGGGCGTTGCGCCGCCTGCCAGGACAAAAGAAGAACATAAGAAGAACTATTAACAACGAAGGCGCTCTCAAAAAGAAGAAAACGCGGCCGCATGGAGGCCTCCCGCAAGCGCGCCCGCACCGGCGGCGAGGAGGGCGAGCCCGTGGCGGTCGCTGCCGGCTTCGAGGCGCCCATCTTTGGCGCGCGCGCCGTCGGCCAGGTCACTACGCTCGCGCTCGAGGGCGAGGACGGACCTCTGGCGTCCCTCAACCTGCGCGGCGTCGCAAGCGATCACGCGGGCGCCTGGTACGTCGCGACTTTGGTCTCGGTGCTGCACGTCTCGGCGGCCGAGCGCGTGCGCACCGTGGCGACCTGCGAAGGCGGCGGGTTCTCCGGCGTCGCCCTCAGCCCGGACGGGAGCGCGCTGTTTGTGGCGGATGCCGGCAACAACAAGATCCGTCGGGTGGAGGTGGCGACGGGTACTGTGACGGCGACTGCGGGTAGCGGCGAAGGAGGCGACGCGGATGGCGTGGGCGGCGCGGCAGAGTTCCACTGCCCATGGGGCGTCACTGTCAGCCCGGATGGCAGCGCGCTGTTTGTGGCGGACTGCGACAACAACAAGATCCGTCGGGTGGAGGTGGCGACAGGCGCGGTGACTACGCTCGCGGGTAGCGGCGAGGAAGGCGATGAAGATGGCGTGGGCGGCGTGGCGCATTTCAACGGCCCAGCCGGCCTCGCCCTCAGCCTGGACGGGAGCGCGCTGTTTGTGGCGGACTTCTTTAGCCACAAGATCCGTCGGGTGGAGGTGGCGACTGGCGCGGTGACTACGCTCGCGGGTAGCGGCGAAGAGGGCAGCGCTGATGGCGTGGGCGGCGCGGCGCAGTTCCGCTTCCCACACGGCGTCACGATCAGTCCAGACGGGAGCGCGCTGTTTGTGGCGGACAACGGCAACCACAAGATCCGGCGGGTGTGGGTGGCGACGGGCGCGGTGACTACGCTCGCGGGTAGCGGCGCCAGGGGCAGCGCTGATGGCGTGGGCGGCGCGGCGCAGTTCGAATACCCAGTGGCCCTCGCCATCAGCGCCGACAGCACAACGCTTTTGGCCCGCATGGAGGGCTCGGCTCTCCGCCAGGTCTGCGTGGCGGCGCCTCCTCCGCCTCCCTCCTTCGCGCCGCTCGTGGTTCCGCCCTCCACCTTCTCCGCCGACATGGGCAAGATGTGGGGCGACGCTACTCTGCCCCAGGGTATGGTCACCTTCCTGGTCGGCGACAACGAGGAGCGCGTCGAGCACGTGAGCAAGTGCGCCCTCTGCGTGCGGTCCGTGTTCTTTCGGACCATGTTTGGCATCGGCATGAAGGAGCGCGACGCCGCCGAGGTCACGGTGCTCGAAACGGACCTCGCCAGCTTCACCGCCCTCGTCCGCTACCTCCTCACCGACCAGCTCGACCTCGGCGAGGGGGAGGGCGAGCAGGCGCGCCGCGCGCTCGTGCTGCGGCAGCTGGCGCAAAAGAACCCAGGTGCCGCGCCTCGAGCTGCTCTGCGCGCAGGCGCTGCAGGAGAGCGT